CTGTTTACTGTGCTGTGTACTACTGTAGGTAGCACATAGCACTTTCCTGCATGGAGTGGTGTTTCTCCCCTGTACTTCATACTTTTCTTGTTAGATACATAATCAGCACAATTTTATTCTAACTCTGTTTAGGGGAAACGTTTTGAATTGAAATAACTTAACTTCTAATGCAAACTGGAAGTTCATATAGGTAATCTGAGCTTCCTGCTCTTAAACTTTTCATATCTGATCTTAACTTTCATCTATCTAACTGTTATTGAGATTAAGGAAGAACAGATGGACAGACAACAGTGGGAATTTATAGGTCTAAATGTTTTTCAAATTGCAGCCCAGTAAGTACCCTCCAGTAACCAAGTGGATAAAACTGTGAGAATTTGGACTCAAGTGTAAATTTTCACACATTGGTATAGTTTATTTTTATCATTACTTCCTTTTTTGTTTCCTCTCTTTTGACCCCTCAGTGTACTGCGTCACCTCGAAGGTGACTTTAATCATCCGAAGAAGGACTCCCCTCACACTAGGGGATCATTCAAGTCTAACGTAAATATAAGGTGGAGATAAGTAGCCAATTAACAGTGACAACTACCTGTTACTGTATAGAGAGTAACCAAAAGGTCACCGACAAGGATAAAACAAAACTCCGTACTTCCCTCTAAGTCTAATCGACCCGATGAGAAAGTCGATATAAATGACCAAATAAGGCAACAATTTTTACTAAGGGGGTGAGACATATTCTGACATGAGTCACCTCACATCAATAAATCAGGGAGTTTGACAAATTTATGATGAGAAGGTGTCAAATAGTGTAAGGAAAGGATGACGATAACATAAACACAGCTGTACGTAAGTTGAGCTGGCGATTGCAACAGATTTTCTTTCCCCATGATTCTCCCTCTGAGATAAGTATAAAAAGGGGTTAAACTTGCACCTCCGGGCAGACAGCCGAAGAGGACACTGCCAGGTAGACACCCTCAGCGGACATCTCCATGCATACATCTACAGTAGAGATCAACGGAGCGTACACCCACATCGGACATAGCTGAGCGGACATCAAGGGACACCAGCTTCATAGTGCCATACCATCTATCGCTCCATATCGCTATCCATGGGAAACTACGATTAGGAACCTCCAATCCCAATGTGTCCTACCAATGCCCTATACAATGAGATCGAATCCCACAAGGTAAACCCTTGACCGAATTTTGTCTCTCTCTCCAACACGTCCCTCTTAGAGAGGTATCTCTCTCATTCTTTAGTTTAGGATAGAACATAGATATAGAATAGAAACCTTTTATTATTTATGTGTGTCATTTCTGTTTTTTCTTCAATACATATAATCTCTTAGTTGTTTATTAAATGTGTTATTGTTGTTCAACCTGTGTAGTTATTCGGACGCTTCATCACGACCTCGCTACCCCCTCTCACTCACTTAACCATCACCATCCCTGACAAGAGCCACTGGTAAGTGGGGAGAAGCACAACACTCCACCCCACAGTTCTCACAAAACCACCAAACACCAGTAATCAGTCATGGGTTTGTGCATGGCCAACAGACTGGCCACATGGAGTTTTCTGGATTTTCTTCATATTAGTAACACCTAAAAAGGAGTCAGCCTTACATAAGTCTTTCTGGGATGCATCCTCTTTGACAAATTAGTTTATTTGGTTACAGCAATGTGACACGTGAGCAAACCCAATTCTAATAATGTTTCTATAAACACAATTTTCACAAGAACATGCTTAACTACCAGGAAACCTGAACACCCCCTGATTTTATCTCCCCTTATTAACTCATAAACCTATTGCCCAAACTTTCTTCACTGATACTGCTTAAAGATGTTCTAATATTCAGCCAAATTAATGTATGTACAATGATTTTAAAACACAAAGAAGAGCTCAGTCTTTTATGTGCCAATGCTTATTTTTCATATTTATTATCATGGTGACATTGTTTCATTCAAATTTTCCTGTAGTTGTAGTCTGTATAATGTGCACTTTATTCAAATGTTGAGTCTTATATTATCAAATTTGCTTCCACTATTCTTAAAGAAAACTTTTGAAAGTTTGTGGCTTACTTAGATGTTTTTGCTGAGTTTTAATTTTCAACCTGGTTTCACCAGTATTTTTTATGGAATCATATAAAAGCAGTTATTGTCACATTTTTACAAGATTTGTTTTTTTATTTAAACAAGTTTTATATGAAGTCTTTTGGATGTTAAACATAGCAATTTTGATCACATGCGAGACGCGAGACTATCACAATCTATTTAACATGGATCACTTTTCAAATATTAATAGTAGACTAGTATTAATTAGTCATTTGTCATAACTGCAGACTCCTTGTGCAACAGTCCTTTCTTCGTATTGGACCCAGTGGTATGGTGGCATTCAAATAGGAAAATTCAATGATATGAGGTTACCAGTGAGCACAAAATATGTTTTAAGTGGATTTTGAGGGTGCTGAGTTTTTTTTGCAAAATTTGATTTGTTGGCAGATCATTGTTTGATATTCAGTTGTGAATGAAACAGTTTGTTAAAGCTAATTAGAAAAAAAAATGATATCGTAACTTTTTTAAGATATCATGTTTTCAATTGCTGTTTACTTGACCAATGAGACTGTGCCATTTTGTAACATCCAAGTATCACGAAAAACATGACAAAGGTAGACTAAAATTACCAAACTTTTTATATGGTTTTCGTTTTAATATTTGTTATATTATAGTGTATGATTTATAAAACTACATAGATAATCTTATATAAGGGTTTATCACACCAAATGAACAAGATTATATTACGGTATTTGATTTATATTTACAAAGGTTTAAGTAAGATAACCTTTGTAAATATAAATCAAATACTGTAATATAATAAAATAGAAGGGTTAGAAGTATGAAATAATCTAATAATCTTAATGTTTGTTTGTATTTTTTGCCCAGACAATGCCAGGCTTACCTGCTAGTTATTATATATATTTTGTTTTTTACTCTTTCCACTCTGTAGACATTAAGAAATGACACTGATATGTTTATCTACCAATAAACACATGTCATCAGTGTCATTTTATCTCAACTGGGAAATGTTAAGCACCAAGGTGGTGGATTTTGTGCTATATGAGGACAAAATGACTGCCAGTGAAAGCTGATTAATCAGGTTTAAACAAAACTTGAAGCAATTTGGGAAGTAGAGAAGGGATTTAAAAAAACTGAAGGGAAGAAAACTTCAGAGACACTTCAGAGTGTCTTTTTTGCCACTGTCCATGTGGTTAAAAAACAGTGATAAAATCAAAAGTGCTATATAATCTGATGAAAACATGTGCAAAAGGAAACATGTTTACAGATACATCAATTGCATTTACATACTGAATATTGAACTGATGATGAAAGCAGGAACTCACTTCTTTTGGGAAAGAGTACCCGACTAACTCAAAACTTTCACCTCAAAGACATGATTTTTTGACCCAGAGCATTTTGAATTATCCAGGTTCCACTTTATGTGATTTTGTTTGTCAATCATTATCATAGTTGTACCAAACACATAATATAGAAAATACATAGACTGAAACAGTTAGCAAATACTCAGAAATTGCCTACAAAATAAAGTATCTGTAGAGAATGGATAAGGTACTTCTTGTGCTATACTCTTTTTTTCTTTTTTTACAGATATCATGACACACACACTACATGAAAGTCTAGAAACATTAGGACTTCACAACAGCATATACATCACACTACAGAAGGCTGCCATACTATTCATGTATCACATAGTCAGAAAATTCTAAACACATACATACATAAACATCATATAAATAAAATAACAACTTTTTCTTGAAATTAATCTGGCATAATACTATGCACTAGTACTGACCAAGTATGGCACACTACACCTTTGGCATAATAATAATAATAAATTCAATTCAAATTGTAATTCTGAATCTTAATTTTGCTTCTGCAGGATGATAGAATTAAACTGATGATATTCAGAACATGTGGAGCCAGCTCTACTGAACCAAATTGAGTGAAACTTGGTACAGTATATATGCAATTCAGATCATGGGGAAGAGATTTATGGGGAAAAAATTATTTGAAATTTTCACCACAAGGGGAAAATGTTGCACTGTTCAGTCAAAAACATGTTTCTGGCTGTGAGGTTAGTTGAGAAAGCATGTTTATCAGAGGCATGTGCACTCCATGTCTGAGTGAAAGCCTGCATAGTGTGATATCGCTCCCAAATTCCTCCTGAAGTGTTATGTGCAGCAGTTGATAACAGTTTTATAATTGCAGCGTATGGTCAGTAGAGAAGAATCCTGCATTGAGTATATACAGTAAAATGTAATTTTATTCTTCTAATAAAATTTTGTCCACTTGTCTTATAATTGTCATATTTTCACAACACATTTTACCAAGGAAAAAATATAATTGAAATTGAAAATTTCAATTATATTTTTTCCTTGTAAATTTCTATCTCCATGATCTGCATTGCATGTGTACAGAATTTCATTTGATTTGCTTCAGTAGAGCTGTCTCACACTGAGTACTCTCAGTTTAATTCTAACCAGCCTTTTTAAGTGTGAGATTTAGAATTATGATTTGTTTACAGAAAAAACCATGATGATAAGATAGTCTTCACTACAGAGCAACTGTTGATTGTCATCACATGTTGCATGAAAATTTCATTTTTAATGTCTTAAATTTTGAATGTTTCATGACCAGTAACATGTTTAAATATGAGTTGTTAGTCCACATTCGCTTTAAGCATTGTGATTTGTTGACTTCTGAATAAATACCCATGTTCTACTATTAGTAATATACATAGTGACTTTGTAACTATCATATATTATATTCAAGATTACAAAAATTACTTTGCTGGATTGTTCAAAACAAATAATTCTGTAAAAAAAAAAAAAACATTGTTTTTACATATAGTACAATAATTGCTGTTTTGTTTGTAATTTGGATATAAAATTAAAATAATTAATTTTATGTTTTAAAATAAAATCTTAGGTATGGAGAGCCAAGGACAGTTATTCTTCATAAAGGAAAGAAAGGATTTGGCTTTGTTTTGAGAGGTGCAAAGGGTAATGAAGTTTAAATTGTTACGTTATTTATTTATCTGTATAAAGAAAAGAAATATAATGAACTAAGTAAGGATCTAAAAGTATGAGTATTGTTTTTTGAATTATTAGTCTATGTTTAAAATTTCCAGTTTATAAAAAAACATCACAAGTATAATTTGACACACTAATTGAGAACTGATTAAATATCTGTTTTTATTAAAATTGAAACATTTTAGTAAAAGCAGATATTTAATCAGAATGAGAATTAAAAATGAAACAAATTGGATTTTTGCTATAATATACATAATTGCAATTTTTTTGTGTTACTTTACTTCAATTTGATTCATAAATTTATTCTATAAATTATTATTCTATAGAAGAATAAGACTATGTAATACAGTATAGAGATCAAAATTACAATTATAAGTCAAAGCTTTAATCAAGGAATTAAAATTGTTATGATGTTATATCTGCTATAATATAGCTTGTGATACATGACTACAGAAAAATTCTGTATATAAATTAATTTTATCATCTGAAATATAATTTCAGTCCAGAAATGGAAATTACATTTTAGACAACAATCAAACTTCACGTAGAATTTTTGTAAGAGCACATTCACTATTTGCGAAATGCCTAATATTTGTTTTTTGCCAAGCTATTTACCAAACTGTTTGTCACTGGCAGGCACAGACATGTAAACATTTGATTATTTGCCAAACATCAGTTTGTTGTGGCAACAAGAAATGTTCATCCAAGATCTAGAAGATGGACAATTCTCAAATGATAATTTCTGCCACTGCTCTTATAATTGTGAATAGTTTTTATCTGTTAATGAAAAAAACAACCTAAAAGAAGATAATAGATAGTATCACTTCACAAAGCAAAAAATGTGAAATGTGAAAAAGAAAGGAATTTTTTAAAAACACAATAAAATCATATTTCAAAAAAAGACTGAAAATACTTAATAGAAAAAAATAAACTGAATATGTAAACTATAAACCAAATTGAGAAAATAAACTAAATTCAAAAATAAAAGATCTAGTTTAAAAAAGCCTGAAATACAATACTGATGACCAAAACACAAAAATACCTGAATGTGAGCACAAATGTGTGGAGGTGAATATTTGTTTTCGTTGATTCAGCACTTTTACTGACACAGTTTATTGACGCGAATTGGAAAATGCTAAATACCAAACATTCATCACAAGTAAACCATCCACACTATTTGATATTTGTCAAATGTTTGCTTGGCATTCGGCAAATAGAGAATGTGTGGATGCATTCTAACAAAGTTATTTTTGAATAATTCTCTTCAGAAAGTTTATTAAATACAGTCAAACCTTGGGTTATGAACAATTCAGTTTATGAACAAAATTTTAAATGCCAAGTTTGCTTTGGTTGCCGTACAATATCTCTGTTTCCGAACAAACTACTCAACAGAGTCGGCCACTGATGGTCAACTTCCTATACTTCCTATGTTAAAGAAAGTTGATGACCCAACCAATTACTGACAGGGCTACTGATTCAGTAGTGGTACCGAGATTATAAATACGGTGACCGAGTGGCACCATAATATAAATGACATTCAGTAATTCAAATTTAAAGATGCTTAACTCAAATTTATTAGAATGTGGCTGACTATCAGATGGTCTTGACTAGGATCTTCTGATAGTCACATATTTGGTAACTTCTGGGTACAGTAGAGCCTCGAAAACTCGGCACTCCGGATAACTCGGCCACACCCTGGCAGGGCAAAAAACTCCTTAGTTAATTAATTTTCATGATAAAGACAGCTTTATGCCTCAAAGTATTTTTCTGAGGTCTGTTTTATCAAGTAAATTACTGTACACAGTGTATTCATTAATTTTCATTTTCATGTAGTAAAGACTCTATGCCTTCATAAAGGATGTACTTTTCCTTTGTTTAAGGGTATTTGGGCAGTTTATTCTCTGTTGTATTCTCAAGTAAACAATACATACAAGTACAGTACAGTATTTTCTGAGGAAACACTCATACTTATTTTTTTTAACCCCATTCCCGATAACCCGGCATTTTCACAAACTCGGCCACCCTTCAGTCCACATTAGGCCGAGTTTTCGAGGCTCTACTATAATTGTAACTAACTGGACATTTGGTGACCATACTTGCCTGATTGCTTCCGTGGAAAGAGGAAGTGTCTGCATGGTTCTAGGAATTATTCTTTGTCTTAAATTAATATGCCTCAATGTCCTTAATTTATTATAATCTTATCTTAATTTACCTGTACAGGTAAATTAAATAAAACAATAATTTTATAATTTGTGAAACTGAGTTGCAGTATCCTTAAAGCCAGTTTAATAAGTCCTGTTAATAGAAAATATGTACTAGTGGACGAAATAAGATTATATTCTTTGTCTTGTTCAGATGTTTCTGGTCATGTTTTTGGACTTTTCGCAACTCATCATTTATTAAAAAAAATTAATAATAATATATATATATATTTTCCTAAAGATAAATGTTACGAATGGTCATCTATAACAAGTTTTGGTTGAGTATTTTGTAGTTGTACATAGGAAATATCTGTTGTAAAATCGCTAGCGGGTCTAAATTCCTTTCCGAGGTTGCCAATGAAGAATGTTTCTAGAAAACGAGTTAAAAAGTGGTTATTTCGAGAGGCTTTGTCAAGGAATTAACTTCGGATCTCATCGATTAAAACTGTTATAACTATAAAGTTTTAAGAACATCTGTAGTCGAGAAACGAGCGATATCGAATTAAATTATAACCTTAAGCTCTGTAGCTTCAGGAAAATCGAAAAAAAAACCTCTTAACTAAAATCCCAAAACATAAAATGCCGCGAGAATGGCGATAAAACTTGGCGTACTATCAGGAAAGTTTCATGAACTTCCCTCATTTGCATGATAATTCGCCAGATCCCGAACCGTGCCGATCGATTCATTATTATTTTTATTTATTTCACGAATACTTCAGTTATTAAATATTCATTAAGGATTGAGATACTCGAACGGAATATCAAATGCTTCATAATCATTTACCATAACTAATTTAGCAATGCGATAGCGATTTATACGACTCGTTTCTCTGTCACGTATCGCACGATTTTCAGATTTTTATAATTAATTTTTTAAAATATTAAATTCTTTTTTTTTAGTATTTGCTTCGGTTTTCGGTTATAATTAGCACATTTGTTTTTATTTATTTATTTTAAGATCAAAACTGATTCTTTATATGCAAACAGTCTCTGAGTTACGTCGCGTTGTATCGCTCATATATTATTGTATATAATAGACTATGCAGTTTGATCTTCTTTATTTGAAGAATACAAAACACGAATTTGTGTTTTTAAAGAATAGAAGAAAACATAAATTAGTATTCTATTGATTAGGTAGCCTGTTTCCGACGTGGCGCGATACAAACGGATATATCGAATTCTACACCGTAAGAGGGGGGAGAGAATTATGACATATAAAAATCGGAATCTCGAAATATTTTCTTTACAAAGTCGTTGTATGGATTAAGTTTTTACTTAATTTTACTAACAAGTAAGTGTAGAATTTAATTCTAACACGTGTAGACAGTTAGTAACGATGGGTGTTGCCGCGACGACCTTGAGAACTTGCTATATTACGGGCAGATAAACGAGTCAGTAATGTGTGATGCGACGAAATCCACCTTTTGACTCTGATGTAACACCATCTGCTACAATTTAAGTTTATCTCTAGTTTAGAATAGCCAATAGGAAGATACTTGTTCATGAAACTTGCCATTTTAGTGAAGGTGTGTGTGACAAAATTAAAGCTTGGATCCGTATCTAGTCGAAAATAGCTATTTTCGGATTAAAGTGGCTAACATTATTAATTTTACACCGAAAAACATTTGTTTTCTGAGGCATGGTATATATATAGGCCTATATTATATAGGATACAAAATTTTATATCAGATATATTGTTTTGTATTCTTGGCAAGCCTCTTGAATATTTTTCAATGACACAATTTTATTTAATTATACATAATTAGCATAAAAATAAACTTACAAAACTCATTATGCAATTAATATTCGGTCATTTTAGTCGTAAAAATGTTTAAACTACAAGTAAAAAAAGTAATCTATAAAATATGACCATGCAAATTGGTCCATTGAAGAATCTATATGCTTGGAGGCTGCACCCATAAAAAAAAAGGGACAATCTTTTAAGATGCAAATTCTGTAAATAGAGATTGCACAACTCGTTTCCTGTTCTAGATAACTTTATAATTTAATTATAACTTTACTAGCCTTCATTGTTTAACAGTTTACGTACGATAAGGGAAGGAAAAAGGAATTACGATCTAAGTGTCCATCTTTGGGACGAAATTATGCTCCTCTAGGACACTTTAGAGCCTTTATTAATCGCTTCCGAGACTGATGTTTTAAATTTAACAGATTTTCTATGCGACGTTACGATATTAAAGGCTACAATCAAGATCTTAGGCTGTCTTAACCTTTGGTGATGTTTACTGATTAAAACTACCTCCTAAAATATCACTTTAAAAGTGTTTGGTGTATCGAATCATATATGTATTCTTGGAGGATTCGAAAATAGAAATGGCAACATCACTTCTATTCTAAATGCTTTTTTTTTTTTTTTTTTAAATCTAACTTTAGCATTTGTTCTTCGCATCACTCCGCATAATGAAAGGATAAAAGTGCGAATAATGTCTTTTCATCTTCACGAAATAAGGCCAAGGTCTTAAGTATTCCTTATGAAAATGTAAAATTAAATAATAAATCTCGGCTCTACTTATTTTGACCTAAATCCATATTGTTCATCCGAGAAAGGCATTTTATGGTCTTGTTAAATCTTTCCTATTTAAGGAGGTTGAACATAATTTTTATAAAATAATAATAATAGAAAAATCACTTGTTTTAGATTTTAGTTTGAAATTATTCAGAATAATTGTAAGAATTATCCGTAATTAACACAAAATATTTGTGTATATATATATANAAAAAGGAATTAATTTTTTACGTCTTAATCTAGATCTTTTTATAAGGTCCTGTGAAATTTGAGTTTCTTTCCATACGTTCGATAGATTCTGCTGTTTCATTTTTATAAATCTCGAATATATGTAATCTCTTATTTGAGTATTTTTAATAATTAATTTAATTGTTGGATACTGTGATTTAGTTATTGGAATAATCGCTATTAAGTCATCCATTGTAACTTCATGTAATTCTAATGATTAATAACAATAAAAAAAAATTAATAACAAAAATTTATTAATATATTATAATATTAATATTTAATATAATATTTATTAATATAGGTATCCAGTTAATTAAAATTATTTAATAAAAAATAATTAAATAATAATTAAAACGCTGGATTTTACACCAAAATTGAAAATAAAATTAATTAATTTTGATTTTATTTTTAATTTATTTAAATTTAATTTAAAGTTTAAATCAAAGCAATTGAAACATAATATTTTGGAAAGTGTGGATAAAATACTTGTCTGTCTTGATTGATTTGGTTATATTTCATCCAGGCAGAGTTAAGTTTCTATGTATAGCATTTTTTAAAAACTATTTGTTTTGGTTTTGGTTGGCAGTAACAAAAAACATTTTGCTTTTAATATATACATAAAATGGATATAGATAATATTATATTGCATTTGTAGGCATTTTTATGCATGAAATGCTGCTAAAAAGGTAAAAAAAAAAAGGTTTGTTTTGGAGGTCTGTAACAGATCAATCTATTTTATCAATACATTGTTTCTTATGGGAAAATTTATTTTTGTGAAGGTCCAAAACCCTTTTGTTTTAGAACAGTATCACCCCTCTAATAAACCTCGTGATTAGGTGAAAAGAGAAAAAGGGGGGGCCTTCTGCGGTTGATGACCGAGACGACCTCCTCGAAAAAAATTGTTAGTATATCAATAAAAGAAATCTCCTCCATTTGTTTAAAGGTAATTCTATAGACATTAATATCAACAAGACGGGAATAAGAGATGTTTTTTACTTTCTCTTTGGTTGCATGTGACACGTGGTTACAGCAATAAATCGCCTTGTTCATAGTCAAATGCGGCGTTTAATATAAACAATATCTAGATTGTTGATCAGTTTACAGAAATTATTGTCAGCTGAATGTTAATTTATGTATGAGAGCTGTCAAACCTATAGAAATTTATATTATAAAATCATATCTTCTAGACACTGATATCAATAAATTAAACAAACTTCTCTGTGCCAGTGGTCCGTAATAGCTAGATCCAGACATCAACACACGAACAGGTGTGCGTATAAATCATTATGATGTCATAGTTCTCACACCCTCAAAAATAGTATAAAGAGGGCTTGGACACAGTCCACAAAGAGGACCTCTCCAGGGCAGACATCGACTGCCACATCTACTGACCCATACCGTTACCCTATCTGTTGCTATATTGCCATCACTGCTGTGACGATCCAGGAACGTTTTTACCAACGACCCATATTATGGATCGGGAACTTAGAGGTATTTTTTTTTTATATATCTATTTGTATACTCTCTCTCTCTGAGAAGTCTCTCTCCGAGAGGTCTCTCTCTCGTCTCTTAATTTAACTTAGAGAATAGAGATTAGATGTTCCATATGAAAGAAGAATCATTGTCGTGATGTAGAATAGGATTTTTGTAACTCTTCACTTTTGCCTTTGATATGTACAATTTTTTAGTTGTTTATTAAATGTGTTATTCTTGTTCAACCTGTGTATTTATTTGGGAACCTGTCAACTTACTCATTAATTTCCCCACTCATTTTATTTTGCCCTCCTATAAAGCCATCCTCTGACAGAGCCGCCGGTAAGTGGGGACAACTAACCCCCTCAGTTCTCACATTTTGGTGTGAGAACAGATCAGTTTCCAAACAACTTTTAGAAATGAATTAAGTTTGTAAACCAAGGTTTGACTATTTAAATGATTAATAGCAATATTAATGAGTTATTTTTATAATTGACTTGTTTCTAAAATAGTAATATGTATAATAAAATATTTTATTTTTCAGCTACTAGTCCATTAATGGAAAGACAACCAACAGAATATTGGCCTAGTCTCCAATATTTAGATGATGTTGATAAAGGTGGCATTGCTGATTTAGCTGGTTTAAAAAAGGGAGATTTTTTGTTAGAGGTATTTTTTTTAATATGTTAATGAAATTGTTATTTATGAGTTAATTAATTCATTCATTGTAGTGAATAATGTAATATAACTTTATTTAATAACACAAGTGATGACAAATTAAATTTATCTTTGTTGCTATTCTGTTAAGTTATGTTGTTATAAATTCTCTATTAAAATTAGAAAATAAAGGAATTCTTTTCAAATCTTAATACATATACATATCTGTTAGGATTTTTGTAAATTATTTATAGAAAAATCTTTAATCCAGTAGTATCCAGCCAGTGTGCATACTATTATGTTATGAAAGTTATTTTCAAATTTGAAATAAAGGTAGAGTGTATTAATTTCAAAGATGAAAAGAACATCTTGAACACATGGCAATCTTTTTATGATAATCCACATTTAGAACAGACATAATAGATTTCTTCTACTTGATATTTGTTGGTTGTCATTTGAGTGTAAACTATTTCTCTTGTATTTTAAATTGTAATTGCATCATGCTAAGTTTATATATATTTTTATGTATTTATGTTTTGAATATTTTACCCTAATTGTAATATGTCATTGTTTATTGCATTCCAATTTTGGAATGTTGAAGAGATCTGATGATCTTGGTATAAGATTGAAAACATTTGTCCAAAAATTGAGTACAGTGGGCGATTGGTTAACAAACAGTTTGGACTATGAACATATCGGATAAAGAACACTTTCGTGAAAGATTTTTATGTTTGGACAACAAACATCTCACAGAACAAACACAAGAAGAAGTGATGTAAAATAATAAATACTGATTGGTCTTTCCTTGTCTTCAGGCAACAATTCAAAACTTTTTGGAGTGCAGGAGATGTTGACATTGATGCTCAGCCCATTATTTACTGATTGGATAGTATTTCTTCAAACTTTGAAACTCTCCCTTATAATTCTAGCCTTTTATTTTTCTGCCAGAAAAAATTTTTTATAGTAGAGACTATCAAGCAGGCACTCATTAAGTTTTGCATCAGTTTTTATTTTCAAAAGGTGAGAGTATAATAGCAAAGGTAGAGATGTCTGATGTTGCTGGGCAGTATGGCTTTGAACTGCAGCCTACTGTAGACCTGTTCATCTTATCTAAGAAAGATATAGTATATTCAAGAAGATTCAAGCAGCTAAAGGAGTAACAAAAATCACATCTGAGAAATAAAGAACATTGAAGAGCTCATAATGGAACCTGAAACTGATCTGATGACAGAAGAATGCCAAGAATTCTTCTGTCATCAGAAGAACACCAAGAAACTCGGCGAGATATGTTTTCTTCTGAAAAAGAGGATTAATGCTGACATCTGCTATTAAAGATCTTTTGAAGTGGGAGGATGTCAGAACAATGGTCTTAGAATGGCATCCAAACCAGGTTGAGGTTAATAGGCTTAGGGATCTCTACAATAGGGTTTCTCATTTTCCGGTCTTTTGTGTGTCCCAGGATTCCGGGATAAAATTGAACTGGATCCTGGGACAGAATTAATTATTTTTAAGATATACAAAATATCATGAAATCAAATAATATAATTATTTTTCATTTTTTAAAGTAATTTAATACGTTTTGCAACTTCCAAAATCATATTAATAATGCTGTTTAAGATACATATTAAAAATTACCTTTGAATTACATTGAAATTTTCACAAATAGAAAAAATTTATTAAAGTTTGCTGGAAACTGCATACAACAATAACAATAAAATGCTTTGAATTGAGTTGAAAATTTAAAAAAATGAACTTAGATCAAACTTCTAACTTAAAAGATAATTTTTGTTTTTTAAATAAAACATAATATATTTATATTATTGTAAATTTTTATAATAAGATTTTAAAAAGCAAAGATGGTCAATACACCAATCAGCCAATCTGATTCTTATTTTAGTAATGAAAAGTCTTGCTACCGAGAATGCCCTTTCCAATTCAATTGATGTTAGTGGAATCATCTTTAATGCATTTCAGAGAAGACTGATGTTATGTGTTTTTTTCACCTGTAGCCTGGAAGATTTCTAGTTCGTTTTCAAGATTGTAGAACTTCTTTTGCTCTCTAATATTCTTGATTTGCCTACCTCAGCTGCTTTAATGGCCGCATCAAGCTTATAGCTCAATAATTCGGCAATTCATTTGGCTTTAATAACCAGGTTTATGAAGAAAAACTTCATACTTGCAGACTTCATATGCATTTGTATCCTTGCTCAATTTGCATAACCTGGCATTATGCAATTATTGAAGCTACTGGGCATGGTTAAAAATTAAGACAGCATAAGCACAATTATTCCAGATATTACAGAATCTGACAAGTAAAGAATTTTCAGAGTCCTGCCACAAATACTGCAAATAAATACAAATACATAAATGCTACATATTGATTATTGCCATTTGTGACATTCCATAATGAGGAAAAATTAAAAAAACTAATAAGTAGGTTTAAAATTAATAAATACAAATGTATTCTGACAGCTTATGAGTTAATTGTACTTTCTATTTGCAAAATTTCCTCACCGTTAACATAAAATAAAAAAGTGAACTTTTAAGATGTTTGCGGGATTTCTCAGGATGAGAAGAATTTCCTCGGTTAAAAAAACAACTGAGATCTTGTTTGAGAAACCCTACTCTACAATTACAATGCTATTAATTATTTCCGAAAAATCTTGAAGAGAGAAAAGTAATCAACATTGGACAGATGCTTTAATTAATGCCCCACAAACAGAAAAAACATAACTGATAAAAATGCAAGACTGTGTATATATGTATTTTTATTATTACATATAAATAAACATAGTAAGAAAGTATATAAATTTTTATATTTAGGGGTCTCCAGAATGGATTAATCAAATTCCCATAGAAATCTATGGTAAATTGATAATCGGTTAATGAACAATTCGGATAGTGAACAAAGTCTTGAAACGGATTATGTTTGTTAACTGATCACCCACTGTATATTAAATTTTTTTACTGTGATTTAAGGATTTTTATTGTGTGCAATATCATTTATATCAATCCATCTGTTGAAGAGGTTGAACTTTGATCGATTTGGTAGAATTATCTTTTTCATTAATTAGTGACTGATGCAAAAACTAGTGCCATAATGTGTTAAAGTGATCAAGCTTGTGATAAAGAGAAGACATTGATCTTGGTTTCACCAAATAACGATAGTGTCTTAGTGATTTTTTTAGTATTTTTCATTCTTTTTTATTCATCTTTACATATAGCCATAGATTCATGTATGCACTGTTTGGCAGCCACATAACACTTCATGCATGTAACTTCTGATAAGTGTATCTTTTGAAAAAAGTTTGTTTTTTGATTTAGAATCACAATATGTAATTAAAAAAATGAGCATTTCAGTTTAAGAAAATAAAGTTGACCTCATTTTCACTAATTGTAGCATCATCTATGATGAAACCAATAACCCCAACTTGTGGCTCCTGTAAAGTGTAGCATTTTTGGTTTAATAATTTTTCTTGTAGGATGTGTATTTTTAAGTTATATCTTGTGTACCATAATCTTAGATACCAATGCTCAATGCTTTGCAAGCTCCTAAAACATAGTGACACCCATTTTGATGTGTGCAAAGGCCTGCTGCATTTTTTGATTGTGAAATTACATGGTTCAGGCTCTTATTGCTCTTTTTCACTGCTGTTCACAAAAATCCATCAATTCTTTGTTCAACAAGGGCTGCTTGTCTGCCTCAAATAATGAATTGAAATCATCCTCTTCCAACTCTATTTAGAGCTCATTTGCTCAGTGTTACCAAGACTTTGTTCAAACAATGTTGTCAAAGCCCTTGAAATTGTGAACAAATTGCGATCATAGTTTCTTCCAAATGTTGTTCATACCCATACTCAAAACTTCATTCTATACAGTGCTTTTGTTAATGATGGCCTTGTGGATGTCATATGACTTCCAGAAATCATGGAGTGTTATGTCATCATCCAGTTTTATTTCATCAACAACCTGCCATAGCATACCCCTCATGTAGAAGTGCTTTTAGATGGCAATGCTCCCCTGGTCCATTGATTGCAGAAGAGAGGTGGTATTGGGAGTGGGTAGACAATGGTAACATTGGGGTGAAAGTTGATGACATTTTGAGGGTGACTAGGAGATTTGTCTAAAATGAAAACTATCTTAAAAGGGAATGCCCTTTTACAATATTTTTTCATTGCTGGTATAAAATTGTTGAAGAACTAATCCTCAAAAATGATAACCATCATCCAAGCCTTCTGATTTGTCATCCATATAAATGGGAGAGATGCTTTCAAGTTATTCATCAATGCTAAAGGATTTTAGACATGATACATGAGCATAAAATCCTTTGGCTTGAAGTCACCTTCACAGTTGCCTTCCAACATAAGAAACAAATGGTCTTTTGAGACCTTGAAGCCTGGAAAAGCTGTCTTCTCCTTGTATATAAAAAAAATCTGGCATTCTTTTTCAATTAAGACTAATTTCATTCTTATGGATTTTATTCCTGAACAAATTTTCACTCTTCTCAATTATCTTGGTTAATTTAGGTGCAAATTTGGACTGTGCCAATTTGTTGGCAGATGCACTTTCATCTTTCATCCTGACATTGGAAAGATTGTGATCTGGCTTAAATCTCATAAACCAACCTGAACTAGCCTTGAAATCTACATCTTTTTTATCTGGATAATTTTTCTTGAGATCTCCAATCAGAAATAATGCTTTCTCCTGAAGTATCATCTGGCTTAGGGGGAAATGCTGACAAGTCGGACATTCAGTCCATAAAGAAAGAAGCTATTCTATCTCTTCAAAGATCTTGCCTCTTTTCTTGTTGATGATGGTATTCTTCATCCCCTGGAGCAGTGTTTCTCAACCTCTAATGAATCGTCGCACCCTTCAATGTAGTACAGTATCACCCCCTTCACTTCAAAATTCTGATGCCGAGGGCCAAGGCTTATGCCAAATTCGTACTGCATTGAATAGACTAGTGACTAGTATAATGTTATTTGTTTAATTATTGTATGATATAACAAATAAAATATCTAATTATTCTTAATATAATATTTTACTATATCGCCCAGAAAATTGTTTTTCACCCCCCAAAATATAAATTGTTACTAATCACCCCCTCAACATGGAAAAATGTCCACATGGGGGTGATATTGCCCTCATTGAGAAACACTGCCCTGGAGCATCATCCTTGATATGGGATAAAATTTGTGCCTTCTTATGGATGATTTTTGATATTGTCGTCTGACTCAGACCAAATAAATGTGCTATGTAGAAATTTTTTCACTGTTTTCATGGTGTTTTATCATAACCACTTTATCTTCCAATGACATCATAGAACATTTTCCTCTTGCACTAGCACTAGCACTTGAAACTTTCTTAAAAGCCATTGGAACAAATATAAAAGCCACAAATGTAACTAAAAATGAGACACCCTTAATATACATGTATCACAAACACAAATTCAAGCCAAGCCACAAAACCACTTATTATGAACAACAATAGAATTTTCCAGAAATTGGCATATCTAATATATAAAAGCCATTTGGCCAGATGTTACATGGAAGAGTAAATTAAAATAGTTGATAGTATGTCAGACAGGTAACATTAAATCTCAGAGGAGAAAATTTATGTCAATAATTGATTTTGTGTAAGACCTAATTGCCTGCTAAGAATTAAGACAGGTTATTTGATTTCTGTATCATCTGTGGAAAACTTCTTGTGATTTACAGTATAAGTTTTTAATATATTTTTAGCTGATCAATGTAAAGTGAAATTTGACATAAGTCAAAGTATTATTTGTACTGTACATGTACATGTAACTTTTAAAACATTGTAAAAAGTGAGAATACTATGGAAATTATGAAATTTTAAATTAGGTTTATGAATTAAATATCTAATTGTTTTCATAAATTTGTATAACCTGAATATCTTGTTTTTAACTGTTTTTATTCCTATAAATTTTTAAAAATATTTTTAGATATGTCAAATTCAAAATGACTCTTTTCAGAAATGTTACTTACAAAAAATCTATTAATACTTACAATTTATCTATTTATTTTTATCATTAAATGTAATAAAAAAATTTTTTCTGTAGGATTGTTTAAAGTTATTGATGTTTCATTAAATTCAATAATTATCATTAATCTGATTTGAATCAAGTTAAATCATTTTTGATTATTTAAATATTCTCAATACACTACATTAAAATTAACTAACTGATGAAGTAAATGTGACCTTTTTAAAATTATTGTGAATGTGAGTTTTAATTAATGTTATTGACAATATTTCTTTATTTAAAGTTAACTGTGTTTTGAAAAATGTTCATTAACTAGATATTTTTATTTTTTACAGATAAATGGTCAAGATGTTTGCCAAGCATCCCATGAACATGTTGTAGCCATAATTAGACACTCAGGAGATTTAGTTGCAATGACAGTTGTAACAGTTAATCCACCTGCAGGTAACATAGATAAACCTGCATTCAACCAAAGGCAATGTGCAACATTGCCAAGAAAATTATCAACAAAAAAAGGTAAAAATGAATATAGAACATTATGTATGTTGAGAAAACTATTTTTTTATTTGGTAGACTTGTAAATTATTTTTCTTCAGATGTATCAAATTAAAAATTTACAACAATATAAATGAAGATGGTGCAGTATTTTAAACATTATTATGAAAGTAGGAGAGGCTTCATATAACCCAAGCCTTTTCTACTTTCACAATAGCAAGCATTTGCTCTTGTTTAAGTGCATGTGTGTCATATTCTGCAAAATAAAGTAGGAATGAGCCCAAAATCTTTAGGGCTAACTGGATTACTTTAGATGGATTCTCTTTCTTCTAGCAAAAGAAAGAGAATCCATTCTTACCCAAGATTTTTTTTATAGGCTTAAAGATATAACAATTATTTTAGTAGTTTTTTTAATAATAAATGGCTTCAATTTAGATTGAATACATTCAGTTGAGTTTGGCAACCAGAATAAAATTTGCAGGCACAAAATAAAGTTCTGAATAACTTTTTGCTGATGCACAATCCAAAGACACTTTAGTTTTTGAAAATTTTTAGTACTTATATTTTATTTCAGGAGAGAGATTTTTTTATTTCATGTATACAATTCAGCTTTAATGGAACTTTCAATCAGAAAATAAGATTCATCATCATAAATAATATGAAAAACTGAATTTTCTGGCAGTTTGTGGCCATGATATTTCTATCTATCTTGCTGCTGCTGTTTCATTTCAACTTGACAATAATACTTTGGTTGATTTCATAATTTTTTTGCATAAAGAGAAATTTCATATGATGAGCAAGTTTTATGCTCAATTTCATTTATACATCAACTGTTTTCAAACTTGATGCTTTTCTATAGGCATCTTTTTGATGATTTTACAGATCCTGAAGTGTTACTTGTTGTTTGGCCAATGTTCAATTATTTTACTACATAATTCAAAATTGGCTGTGGAAACTTTTTATGGTTTCATACATGAAAATCTGGTTTACTGGAGCACTCATATTATTGTTATAAACTTGAGCTATCAAATTTTGACATTGTACCTCATTGGACTCACACATCATAAACACATTTGTCACGAGTAAGAGGAACGCATTCACATGTATTCACATGTAAATAAAAAATTCAAACATATCATATTCTGTAAGTTATAAATGATTGCATAATAGAGTGAATCTTTTATCTATGTTTAGAGACTTTTAATCACTTTGTATTTTATTTTCTTGTAATTATTTTAGATTCTAGCTAGTTATACATGTGTATCTTTTAACTAAAACTCTTGAACAAAGGTTATAATAAAATGTTAAATTCATCAGGACTGACAACACTGTGTCTTAAGGACAGACACAGAAACCTTTTTTGCATGAACAATCATGTATTTAGGCAATTGGATGGAGGTGACATGAGAGACAGCATGTTTTAAGGAAGTGCACTAAACACAATTTTAACAATAACAAATATCCATTTATTAACTATAAGCTATTTACAATTAGGCTAAACATAGGCTGTTTATAGTTGAAAGGTTGAACATTATGGTTATCCATTTATATATTTTATAAAGTTAATATTTTGTATTAAAGGCTTTGTACATAATATTAACTATCCTTGTGAGTTCTAGTCTTGAGAGAGAGAGTTTATGTAGATACCTGGTAAAGATCTGAGAATGCGCTACGTTGCTGATGTTGTATATGCATGTGGTGAAAAATGAGTCTAAAAAAGAGAAATGATAAGACAAAGGAAATTCTTTAATTTTTCACCAGTATTCAATAAATTTACAGGATTTTGTTTGGATTACGACAACTCCTTGAACAAAATGTCTACAATGTTAACTCGGACAGGAACGTTAACCCAAAATCTTGCGACAAAGGAACGGTTTATAAAAATATGCAGCATTACAAAATTAAGCACGAAAAACTTACAACTAATTATCTAGGAACTGCTTATTCTATAGGGAAGGATAGAAGGAGTATTTGATAGGATAGAACCGAATGTGAATGGGTACCCAACTTAGCTAATAGCCTTATGATTGAAGTTGTATCTTAGATCTCTCTGCTGGATGACATGAAGTCCGAAGATCATAGAGTTTGAACTTTTCCTTGTTCTCTTTGGGTTTCCTGATAAACTTCTGGAGGGGTTCTCATGTTAGTATACTTCTAGGGTTCTTCTCTCATGTCTGCTCTTAGACCTACTTGCTCTTTCTCTCTTCTTGGCGATGCAAGATCGACTTGATGATATCCACGAAATACATCCTCCCAGCTCAACATCTCCGCCAAGAGTGACCCCTCTATCTTTCTTTTAGTGCCTCCGGGCTAACCAATCCTTTTGTCTTTCAATCAGGTAGTTGCCACCCACAAAGAGAAGTTTCCAGAAGGGAGAGTACAAGAGAAAGAATGGGAAAATATATACAAATACGTTACAAAATTATGGCATATGACCACACTGATTAGGTCAAAGACTGGAGTTCACAACACGATGAATTGATGATTTGGAAGTTTGATGGATGGCTCTGGAAAGTCTTGGTATATTTGGCAAGATCTGGATTTCTTGCTATTTGGACTATTCAGACAACAGGAGGGTCATCAGAGGGAGGAACGTCACTTAAGTAGGAATCTTCTGTGTCGGTAAGGTATCCAAGCACTAGTGCAACTTTCCAGCATGGATGAATTTTCAGTGATGATGGACTCTTCTGTCACCATGAACTCACCATGTCATCATCAGACATTGCCTTTTATTTGGGATCCTCCCTCTTTCTTCCATTGCCCTTTTTTGGTAAACTAAATCTCCATGTCCAATAAGTTCCTGGTGACACATTTGATGTGTCACCTGTTATAATCATATTCTCAATGTTTTTTTTTCTTTTGAAAAATAATTTTTTTGTGAAGTCCAGGCTCTCATACTTATTTATTTGCTGCATTTTTAGATCTCAACTTAAGCTGTATCAAATAAATGAATTAAATAAACTCTGATTTAATTAAATTAGAATAAAACCTCAATTTAGAACCATCATTTGATCTCTCTTGAAATTGGCAGTAAATTGAATATGTGGTAAACTGAAGATCTCAAATAAATAAGAATTATTTGTAAGAATTAAAGTAACAAAGTTTACATTCAAAGTTTGATTTTGGAGTTTGAAAGTTGTATGATTTGTAATAATGATATTATTTACAGTGAAAAAAAACGCATTTAGTAATTTAAAGATTCTTCAGAGTTTGTAGGGATAATCTGTTCATAAGTATTCATTGGTGTTTTACGTGGGTGACAGTATAGTGAAGTTGATTATATATATAATCATATAATGTACAGAGATAAGTACAGCCTTTACAATTAAAAGAAATAATTTATATTTATTTTTATATCTAATTAGTTTCTACTCTAATAAATTCACCATAAAAAAATTTGAATTGAAATAACAGTATTTTCTTCTTTAGCTCCTGTTCCACCTAAACGTGATCCAAGAACAACCTTATCTGTAGGAAGAGTACGTGCTAGATCAATGGTTGCAGGACTGGCAGAAATTGGTAAGTATTTTTTTAAAGACCAGTAAATAACTGAATAGATATCTGATGTGTTAATAAGTAATTGTAATTTAAATTAAAGTATATATTACAAATGAATGAAGGCAGTTAATGTAAAGATGTATATACCAACTCCCTTGTCTCTCCTCAATCTCCTAGTTTACGTGAAGGAAGTTTGTAAATTGATAAAATGAAAGAGTACAATAATCGATAAAACATACACAGAAATCTAATGGAAGAGCTTTAAAAAAGATTTCCACTTTTATTCCAATCAGAAGGTCACATCTTATTTTAGAAAATAACTCCTAAGGCTGCATGATGTATTGTACTTTTCTTAAGTGCATATGTTTAGGCCACAGTATATATAAATTGTACTCAGATATCTTTATTGAAAAAGAGAATAGATGTTTTCTATTCTCTTTTTCAATAAAAAATCTATCCGAATATAATTTATTTTGCTGTCATGAATTTTATGATTTTTCTTGTTTTAGTCTTATGTATGTTAATTTATGTATTCCTTTTTATAATTTAGTATAATATATTTTCATTAAAGTATTTTTAATACTATTAAATTATAACAGTAATTTTATATAACTTTTCATAGAATTTAAACTAGAGTAAGACAGTATTTACTTATCATATAAATGAGATTTACATTTAAAAAATCCAATTCTAAATAACAGGACTGACTATAGCTGTTAGTTTCACATTTTAGAGTTTGTGTTTGTATCAGACAACTATCTGCCCATCTTAGATTTTGCTTATTAAGAATATTTTTGCATTACAATTATTATATTATAGTATTTCTTCATTTTTATGGTCAGATTTTTAAAATTGAAAATTCATATATTACCTGTAAAATATTTATTTTCTGACAAAAATGTCTGCATATTTAGAATTTAACTTGGAGAAATTTCAATATAAAATTCTGTTAATATAATTTTAATAGTAATTATTTGATAATTATCAGTGTTCAAATTTTATGCAAATTTCACTGCTGGCAAAATGATGTATTCTAAAAATTTGTTTTTAATTTATTTAAAAGTAATAATAATTGCTGTAACTATTTCAATTTTTCAAATTATTGTTTATACACAGTATGTACAGTACATATATATAAGCATTTGTTTTATTTTCAGAAGCTTTAGATCGAACTTTAAATGAATATGATTCTGAAGGCAGATCAACTAAAAGCAGTTCAATTGAAAGTATTCCAAATAAGCAAAGCAAAGTAACAGAGAGTGTAACTCCAAAAATTGCATCCATCCGTTCTCGACCGAGTTCTCGCCGTATCACAGCTGCTGAGTTGGAAGATTTTTTTTCTCGTCAGACTGGTGAACATCAGAAATATGCAACTATGTCACATATGTCCTGTAGAACTCCCAGAGTGTACGGTAGTGTTGCAGCTATGAAACGGTCTCGTGCATCTCGAAATAAATTAATTGATGCCTTTGGAAAGCTTCATAAAGAATATCATAGTACTCCAGATTTAAATACTGATGTTTATGAAACAGAAATCAATACTGATAAATCTAAAAAGACCAGTCAAAGTCAAGATGATATACAGTTCCTCTGTATGAAAAATAATAGGCATTCATGGGCATATCCACTTCATTCTTCATTGTCAGATCAACCAACAAATGATCGTGTAGATTATGATCAGTCTTATTATACAGATTCTTGGAAATCTATAGAAGAAGTTTATGATAAACTAAAAAGTGGAACATCTGTATTCAAAGAAGACAGTTCACAGATTTATGCACAAACTCTTCCTCTTACTAAAAGAGAAAAAGCTAGTCAACCAGCAAGGAGTAGTTGTCCACCTCCATCTCATCCCCCTCCACCACCTCCTATTGGACAAGTGATCAAAGTAGATGTATCACGTGCTTTAGGTGAATATGCAAATGTGCATGTAATTCGTGAGCACAAATCAACAGTAATGTCTAGTTTCCGGCCAGGTGACAGTGCCAAACTCTATGCCTCGCCTGAAGTTGTAATGAGTGTTGGTTATAAAAAGAAATCAATGGGTTTACGAAGTGAACTTTTACATCATAGAAGAATTGGAGGTGGCTCAAGTCTCAGGTCTCATTCTCTTCCACCAAAAATACCAACAAATAAAAATCCGTCTCAAAGCACTCCTTCAGAAACAGAAACAAGTGGTGATTCCAACATTCCCTGTTCAGCTTTTCGAATATCTAGCAGGCAAAGAGATTCAGTATCATCAGATAGTGGAAGTGTTTCTGATAAAGGAACGTTAAAGTCTCTCAAAGGAAAATCTACTATGAATAATTCCTATATGTCAAAGTTTGAAGTGGAAGAATCAGAAGTCAATAGTCCTCAACATTATGCACCACTAAGGTCAAAGCCTCATGAACCATTTATTCCAGAACCAGATTATGAAAGTAGTGATGATGATATTCCAACTTCTGTAGATAAAGGTTGTAATCTATCAACTTTTGGTAAAGGCGACACACTGCAAATCACAGCAGCTTCACAAGAACGAACTGAAGAAGAACAAAAACCAATTAGCCCTCATACAGAAGCCAAAAGAGCTATTCAAGAAGCCAGAGAAATTTTAAAATCCAGTCAGAAGTCATGTGATAAAATTAATACAGATACAGATCATAATGTTAAAGAATCTCAAAGTATATATCAATCAATACAAGATGAATGTAACATTAATTCTGAAAGAAATTCACCAAAAGTTCAATACAGGCATCCAGTTTCAGAAAAGTTAAAAGAGTTAAACAGAAATATGGAATCAGTTGAAGAGACTAAATCTCAAGATATAGAAATAGTATCAGGAACTGTACGAGAAAATATTCATGTTTTTGAAAAGAAAAGTGAAATGGCATCTAATTCTCCAAATCTTAAAAAAGGAGAAGGATTACGCATGGCAGTTACTGGATCACAAATGAACAAAATTTCTTCTGTAGAAAATCATGAAACTCGCTGTTTAAAAACTTCATTATCCTGTCCACATGATCTTTTCCATGACGATGCTGAAAAAGCAGATAATAGTTCTAGTGGTGTATCTTCAGATATAGAATCTCAATGTGATCCCAATCAAGTTATGGGAAAAGAACTCAAACAAGAATTGCCTTCAATGAAAATTACAGAACAAAGAAAACTATCACTTAATAAGGACCATATAGAATCTGAAATGCATCATTGGAACAGTAAAAATGTAATGTACAATAATCAGCTTTTACATTCAAATCTTCTGGAATGTTTATCAACAGAATCTCATGATAAAGTTGCAACTAAAAATGAAGAATGTGCCAAATTGAGTGAAAGTATTGAAGAAAGTCTTCAGTTAATTCGAGTTCAAGTAGATTCCCTTGCTCTAGCAGCTGTAAATGAAGTGGATGTTTTCACTGAGCTTGTTCCTCCTCCTCCTGAGTTTGCTGTTCCAGCAAATGAAAATCAAGTCTCAGATATTGTTTTGGAGACAATTGCACCACCACCGGAATTCTGTGATGAGTCGTCATCTAACAGAATTTCAAGTGCAAATTTAACTAGACTTTCTTCTTCTGCAAGTGATTCTTCAGGAAGATCAAGTTCTCCAGAAAATATTCCAATCAATTACACTTATGTAGACTATACCTATCCAACATCTACGACATCAAGAATAATCGGTTCACCACGACACGTAGCCAATGGGACAACTAATGTTATCAGCAGCCATCATACCATTCATAGGAATCAGAAAGAATACGAAGTTACTCGTTTAAAATCTGTAAAAAGAGAGTTTCGCCATAAACCTCTTCGAGAATGGAATAGTGTTGATGTATCAGATTGGCTAGATAGTCTCTTTTTACCAGAATATAAAATTAAATTCAGTGAAGCTGGAATTACGGGTGCAAAATTGGCTAACATGGACAATAATGATCTAATGGGATTGGGGGTGAAACAAGTCGGGCATCGTTTGAATATGGAAAGATCATTGAAAAGGTACCAGAAATGAATTGGCATAGAGAATTGTTATCTCACTTACAGATCATGTCACTGCCAGCAAATATGCAGCAAATGCAGTTCATGCTCTAATGCTGACTGTTACATAAGCAGCAATGTGCCTGTTTGAATCAAAGAAATATGAGTTCAAGGAATAATTGATTTTTCTCATAGAACTCTAAAATCACCCATCTCAATTTTACTCAGTCTCTGTGACACAAAGAATGTATAGTTACTGCCCATTGATCAACATAGATAGTTTCATCCTATAAAACATATTGTATCGTGTGCGTTCGGTATTGCTTGAGCAGTAGCTGTATAATATAAAAAGAGTACAAAAATCTTTGTACTTATTATCGGTTGTACAGATAAAAACTTCTTGGTAACTGTCATTGTGTTGTTGATGGACCAGTTATTTTTTAAAATGTAGAAAGTGCATATATATATAAATATATATATATATATATATAAACACATTATATATATATAACAACCATAGATATCTAATCTGATTGTTAATAAAGTGTCTAAAGATGAGTACAGTATCAAATAATAATTAATTGTAACATTTATAAAAATACAACTTTATTTCACTCTTAACATAAAAATAACTTATTCATTGGTCTTGAAGTGTGTGTCACTATGTGATTTTGAAATTATTATAACTTTGTCTTTTATTTTTTCTACGCTAATCAGTAAATTATTCCATATCTAATCATACTCTTTTATCAATTAAAAATACAGATTTAATTATGTAATATTCTTAATATCTACTAATTTGCTATTATTTCAAATGATTTATCAAACCACAATTATTTAATTTGAAAGTTGACCAAGAGATTTCTTTATTAAACTAATATGTACAGTACATTTCATGTTCATCAACACCTTTCATTAGTTGGTTTGTTTTTTCATATACATTTTTACTTTTAAAATTGTATTTCACATTCAATTCTAATTACTTACTGTCAGATTAGCAGCTATTATGAATATTATAGAATAAAAAAACAACAAAATGAAAAAGTAATAATACAGATTTAATTGTTAATTTTGTCTCCCATATTTATCAAATAAACATGGGAACAAAATACAAATGCTTGATTTTAGTTATATTTTAAATATGCCTGGGTTATTAAATAAGGTCAAGTTAACCCATCAATTTTGTGGGTATTATGTTGTGTTCACAAATTTTTCTTCAATTAAAAATCTTGATATAATAATAATTTTTTCTGATTTAATATTGCACATTGAGTGAAATTATGTATAGTTGCAAAGTAGTAGTCATACATATAATGCATTTAAGCTCTGTATACAAGGTAGAGCATTTTAATCAATCCAATGGAATAACTCAAAAAATACACATCCTACTAAAAAAATCATTGAACCAAAAATGTTAGCCCTATTCTGTAGCTCTCTTGAAGTATATTGGTTTTGTCATAGATTGTGCTCTAATCGGTAGAAAAGGGATCAACTTAATTTTCTTAAATGGGAACCCCCAGTTTTATTGCATATTCCGAATCTTCAAAAATAACTTATCTAAAACAATTTTTCAAAAGATACACTTACAGAAAGTTATGAGCGGTTGAAGTTTTATATGGCCTCCACACTACACATGAGTATCTATGGATGTCTGTGATATTCACTGAAAAGAAAGATGTTAAAAAATTCATTAGAAAGCTATTATTTGGTGAATCAAGATCAACTTTTCTTTATCACAAGCTTGATGGTTTTAATACTCTGGCATTAGTTTTGTATAAGTTCATTCTTTGAAAAAAAATCGTTTAATTATACTTTTTTCACTACATAACAGTCTTTTAATGATATTTTTTTTAGCAGTTTTCCTTCAATGAACTTCAGATATCTAGATTTATATGTGCATGGTGTGGCCCATAAAATTTCAAATGCCCATAACTTCTTAGTATATCTTTGGAAAAATCTTTTAAATAAAAGTTTAATTTCAATGAAGATTCAGTTTGCTCAATAAAAACGAGTTCCCATTTAAGAAAATGAAGTTGATCCCGTGCTTACCGACAGAAGTGCCATCTGTGANCTGGGTTAAAGAAATACATAGATCTGAATACAGAAATGAAAACTAAAGCAACTAATGATTTCAAAAAGGACTTTTTTAAACTAATGAACAACACTGTGTTTGGAAAGACAATGGAAAATATAAGAAATCGTGTTGACATAAGATTATGTTGTGACGCAAAAAAAGTAGAAAAATTAATCGCTAAGCCGAACTTTAAACATCAAACCATATTTACTGAAAACCTATGTGCTATTCACATGTATAAGAAAAAAAAATAGTCTTTAATAAACCCATCTATGTGGGAATGAGCATATTAGATCTTTCGAAGCATTTGATGTATGATTTTCACTATAATGTGATGAAACCTAAATACGGAGATAACATAAAATTGTTATATCAGGATACGGACAGTTATATATATGATATAAAAACAGATAATATTTATCAGGATATGAAGGGAATGATTGATTACTTTGATACATCCGATTATCCCGAGAATAATCAATATGGCATACCGAGAGTTAATAAGAAGGTGTTAGGTAAAATGAAGGATGAAAATAATGGAAAAATAATGAGAGAATTTGTTGGTTTAAGAGCAAAAATGTATGCCTTAAAAGTAGATCAGGTTTCAAAGAAATCAAAAGGAGTAAAGAAATGTGCTGTTAAAAATAGGATATCATTTGATGATTATAAAAACTGTTTGTATAATAAAACAGAACACTCCCGAACAATGAATCTAATTAGAAGCAAGAAACATGAACTTTATTAAATAGAAGTTAACAAGAAGGTGTTATCACCACATGATGATAAGAGATATATATTAGAGGATGGAATTAAGACATTAGCATTAGGTCATTATAAAATACAAAGAGATTGATTTTTTTTCTTATATAAATGGACTCTAGAATAAAGAGGGCTATCAATTGGGATGATTTTTCTAAACGAGAGAATTTAACAGAAGATTTAATAAGAGAATTAAAAGATGAAGTTAACTGGGATTTGATTTCTATATTTAAAAAGTTATCAGAACGTTTTATAAGAGAATTTAAAGATAAAGTTAATTGGGATTTGATTTCAATATTTCAAAAGTTATCGGAACGTTTTATAAGAGAATTTAAAGATACAGTTAATTGGGATTTAATATCTCATAATCAAAAATTGTCTGAATTTTTCATTAATGAATTTAAAGATAGAGTGAAATAGAAAAAATATCAGAACACCAAAGTCTCTCTGAAAATTTTANAGAGAATTTACCAGAAGATTTAATAAGAGAATAAGATGAAGTTAACTGGGATTTGATTTCAATATTTCAAAAGTTATCAGAACGTTTTATAAGAGGACTTATATCTCAAGTTAATTGGAATTCAATATTTCGTACACAAAAATTGTCTGAATTTTTTATTAATGAATTTAAAGATAGAGTTAACTGGAAAAAAATATCAGAACATCAAAGTCTCTCTGAAAATTTTATAAGACAACATGAAGATAAGGTTAATTGGAAACTCATCTCTACACATCAAAGATTATCTTCTGAATTTATTCAAGAATATAAAAATAAAGTGGATTGGGATGCTATATCTCGATTTCAAAATTTAGATAATGAGTTTATTAGAAAAAATGCTCTAAAATTAAATTTAAATTCACTTTTAAGATATCAAATCATATCGGAACAATTACTCGAAGACTTAGATCTGTTAAATGTATTAGACTGGAAAATAGTTGTTAAACATCAAGAATTATCCGAAGATTTTACATTTCCTGTAAGTTTGGTTCAATTTGCACAATTCCTTCATGGTGTTGCAATTTTCACAAACATGAGTGTATAAATATTAAGTTAAAATCAATTTATGATATAAATATGAATTTACCTTAAGGAAAATAAATAAAAATATTGAAATATTCAGACAACATTACACAAAAATAAAGGAAAAGATTTATAAGATAAAGATTACGTGTTTATTACAAAATTTTGCAAATGGATTAAAATGTAGAATTTGCACACACAAAATATATTTTACTAAAATATGAATCGATGGCAAATTGTCCTGCGTATTATTCGTGATTATTAGTTACAGTTTGAATTTTTCTTCCGAATCATCTGCTTTTAACAAAGGCAAAGAAGTTCCTTGTATTGCGTTTTCCTTCGAAAATCGAAACGGCACATTTTCGTTTTTCATTCGATTTAAATTCTTAAGACTACGAAAAGTAAAGTTTTTTTCTGATTCTTTTGTTGGGCGGGGAGGGAAATATTAGAAACTTTAAGGATGTCATTTTTGGGGGAATTGCCACATTGTAGATGAATTCCTTCATTGCAGAGTCTTCAATACTTGGATTCCGTTCTTTCTGTGTCTTAAAATCTTTTTTTCCCAAATGTCGAGTAAGAGATTGTAATATTTTAGTTTTTTGAGGTATTTTAGATAGACGGATGACGTTTTAGATGGGAAAATACGAAGAAACGAGCCAATTCATCTTCACTTTCTATGAGAAGTCGTCAAATCATTCAAAATTGATCTGAAAACAGCCACTCCAGTTTTTTCTACGTACAGTACTTCATCTGCTTCGTTTTTTCGTTTTGGCATAACATCGCGCAATGAAGATTGTGATTTATACATAACTTAGTCCCTTTATCGGGTTTTATATTCAGCATTTTCATTATTTCTCTTTCCGATCTCGGCGGGATGTCGATATTGTTTGGGATATGAAATCCTACTGTGTTAAGCGTGTCTTTAATTAACTGTTCCTTGATATCAATGTCGAGTTGAGTGTTAGAATGAAGACTCGGAGAGATGTTCACTTCTAAAAGCCACGGTTTTAAGTTATTATCCAACAGAATGTCGAAGCCGAACAATTCGTAATAACAATATCTGCTTTTGCTGAATACTTGGACCATCCTACCGATGACATCTTCTGAACTGATTATGGTTTTAATCACGATGTCCGTGATGGCCCATCATAGACGTTCCGTGTTGACCCGTTTACTTTTCAAGTACTGTACTCCCAGAATGATTGAAGTGACCAAATAGGTCCTTGGCATAACTTTTCGTTTTCGTTAGGCTTGTATGACGGACTATTGAGATTGATGCTGTAGTTAGTTAGGTGCATAAACTTTTCTTTGATATACTTTAAGTCACTACAATACTGCTTCGAAGCAAATCGTAATAATCCGTTGTCGAAGATATAAAGTCGGAGAGGATTGAAACTAGTAATCAAAACGTACAGTCTTAAATCGAATTTACTCCTATTGATAAGAAAAGGGCGTGATATTATACTTCTGAATCATGACGGGAGAGTCTGTGGGAACCTCAACCATTTGCATATAACATTAATATTAATTCCTCCGTATAAAGCTGGAGGTTTAACGATCCACATCTGATCAAGTGAGATTCTTCTTTCCAAACTCTTTGTAATTTTGCCAAATCCTGTGGCAAGATGTAAGTTTCTGGCATAAAAGAAAACACCATTTCTCCGTGAGTACTTTGCATCTTGGCTATATTTAACCACAAGCAATCTTTTCTGCCAAGATGATAGCTACCAGGAAAGTGGTTAACTTTTTGATTGATGCTAACACGTTTAAACTGTTCGAATTTAATATACGCGCTCCAACTCGCTATCCATTTAGCTGTATCTTGAGTTAAGCGAAAACCGGAACGACGGACGATGCTAGCGACTAATCCTGGAATGATAGGAGACAATTTCCATAATAATTTGTTTTGAATCTCCTTGGGTAAAGGCAAGATTTTTTCGGAGGATATTCCAAAATAAATTGTCGGAGGAACAAAAGAGAACATGCTTGGTCTTAAAGCTGGCACTCCTTTTGCCATCACTTTTGTCTCTTCTTCATTGAAAATGGATGCTTTCAGAGTTTTGGCATTTTTGTTGGAAGATACGTTCTTATTGTTGACGTTAAGCATAACAACCTTATTCTGTGATTTGTTACAGTTTTTTTTTTTTTTTTTTAATTTTTCTAAAACTGTGTGAGGTCGATGATTGAGGAGAGATTCTGTAGCTTTGAAGTTTATACGATTCGGTTCCAATCTTTTAAATATATTCTCGTTTAACCGAGCGATGGGGCGTTTAGAATGTTGACGTTTGATTTGATCTTGGAAGAAACTAGACATTTCTGAAAAGAAATAATCAATTATTATCTTATTGTGTATAATTAATTAAATAAAAGCAATTTAATCTTGATTAATTCAATATTTAATCTATTATACTAGAAGGATTCATTTAGTTTTTGTTTGAAGAATAATACTATTTCACTTTTTGTACAAAAATATTTAAAATCGTTTGTAATCGATTTAATGGTATTTGATACCACACACACAAAGTAATTTAACAAAGAGATTTGTTTGAACTGTATCTAGCTACAGAATCATGAAATATTGAAATAACGGAAACCAATCCATTGTCGAATGATGAGATAATCGAAATTTTATCAGGTGACATCACTACATATAATAAATTTCATCAAAAAACTCTTCTATATTTATCATCTAGCATCCTACTGATCAATAGTGGATGCTAATTCATGCTTTAGCATAAAATTACGCCGTTTCTATGAAATTCAAGAAGCATTCTAAGTTTATTCGAGTTACTTTTCTTACACGCCGCAACAGATGTGAGAACTATTTAATTATATTCCATTTTTTCATAAAGTCGATACTGAATCTTCACTCTTTTAGTCCGTTTGTGAAGATCTATTTTGCAAATCCGTCTCGAAATATGATCATTTATTATACGTAATGTGGATGGGAGCATCTATCTCCATTTCGTACAAAATGGAAATAGACGTCCCCGCCTGCATTTCATAATCTTAAGTTGCGTTGTTCAGTCAAATCCCATGTTTTCAATTAGCCGGTTGAATGAAATAAGATTGAAGTATCAATCAAATTTGTTCGATATTTCGTAAATAGTCAAAGACACAATCAGCAATGATCAATATTTTTCTTAAGTAATATTCTATACAGAAATATGAACTTACCTTCGATCTTACTTTTATGGAATAGCAACAAATTACAATTGGAATCAGTCAAAGCGTGGAACTCTCCTCTTACAAATCAAATCAATTAAAGCTCTGTTTACATTATTTTAACACGCAGTAAGTAATCTAGCTTCTTAATTGTTTCGTAAAAACAATTTTCTTCTTACGAAAAGGTATTTTCGATAACTTAGAGCCACCATGTCCAACCCGCGACTCTTTTAAAAACTGTATATATCTTGTATAAATTTTTATTACAACGAAATATCACATATATAGCTAAATACATTATATGATGTATAACACCTTATCACCTACCGTGTTTCCCCGAAAATAAGACATCCTCAGAAAATAAGACCTAGCACAGGTTTTGCTGAATTGCGAAATACAAGACCTCCCCCTGAAAGTAAGACCTAGCAAAGTTTTATTTTAGTCGTAACAGTCATCGACAGATGGTTGAAAGTGGCCGTTGGCTTTTTGAAAGTACAGCCACTGATTGGTCAGCAGACAATCACAACACACGGCATGATTTGCATAAGACTATGGCTTGGGAATCACAGATTTGCATAACGTTACGGCTGGTGATCGCTAATTGGTCGCCGGGAATCACGCCCCATACATTTGCATAGTGCTACGGTTCAGTAAGCACTAATTGGTCATCGAGCCCGATGTCGACGCTATGAAAAGGTTAAGTAGAAGCGAGAGTGGAAAGTCCACTCCAGAGTGGGCGAGTGGTCTCCGTTGCCGCTCATCGTAGTGGTGACCAGACCCT